GATGATGAGAAATGCTAAACTCTGAGGAGAGGCCACAGGGAGCAGAAGGTTACTGGCCCATCACATCTCTCTGGTAACATACAGCTGCATAGTTATTCATAAATCACAGGCATGAGTCAGTCAAGGCTGTGAAAGTATTACTGTTTGTGCACACTATGTATGAGATACACTATGGTCAGGGCTTGTGTGTTTGAAAGGCTCCAATCTCGTGGATATTTCTTGGAGGCACTGTTGGACTGCAAGCAAGCAAGAAAACAGAAAAGGTGTTTTTTCTCTCCTCTTCGTTCTGTTGTACAAGAGCCCGGGGCTTCCATTCTGCCTGAGCATATGGTGTTTATTTCACCAACAAATTCAAAATACATTTAATTCTGACAGATCTGTCCTATCAGGAGAAAGCAATCCCCAAAAAATGTATCTTGTTGAATAAACTGCTTGTTTAACAATCTATGTGTGTGAGAATAATGACACATAACAGATTTGAAATTTAACGGAATAAACTGCATGAAGAAAATCACTGAAACAACATAATGGCAGGGTGACCTGGGAATCTGGGAAAGAACAAGTATTTGTGAGACATTTTGACATATAAAAAAACACAGGTGAAAGTGATACAGTTATTTAAAGGATAATTGCCTTTAATTTGTTCCAATTTTGCCTAGAATTAATATTTTACTCATATTTCTAGTTATCCTAAAGTTATTCAAATATTCAAAAAATCTCCTATAATTTGGTATTCCAACAGTAATAGTGTGCTGGGGATGACGTATTTTTTAAGTTAGCATTGCCCTAATTCCTTCGACAAAAGCCAATGGGATTGCAGAAAATAAGCTTTGTGGTGAACAAAGGTCTACTATACATAATTTACATGTTTTGTTCAGCAAGATAATCTTGAAAAATGACTCTTTCACTTTATGATTTTCAAAGTGTTAATGCGACCCCTAGAATTAAAAAGCTAGCATTGAGCTATAAACTAACTTCACTATGGTCGCATGACTTCAACGTCACTATACTTCCAACTTAAATTTTGTAATTAAAATCTACATGTTGGAAAGTTTGAGTTAGAATAGTTTGCAAGAGTGCAATCGGCCTATAAACACGATGTTGTAAAGGCAGACTAGTGAGTAGATACGTCTTGTTCAGCGTCCTGACGTTCAATGTCACAGACAACCTCTGTAGTTGTTTTTAAGACACATAAAAGCTTCAGATTTCACCTGTGGGATATTTGCTGACATATTTTAGGTCTCAGAACACAACCTAAAAATCTCCAAAGCTTGTGGTAAACACAGATCTTATTTCAGGCATCTCACCCAAAAACCCATTAACTCATCTCCGAATTTTAGGCTTCATTCCTGCAGCACTCTGAAGATACTGAACTGAAGTAAAACCAAGGTAATGCACACAGAAGAGGCCACAAAGTCATAACAAAACAGGATGATTCTGCTCCCTGCTTGCATCCCATAAGGTGTTATAATATGCTGATCGAAGTGGTATTAAACCGCTTTATATCAAAGGCAGAAGTAATGAGATGGACGAAGATTGCTGTAGGTCATCTGAAGGGATTGAAGCAATAAATTGGGTAAAAGCATGTTTATTTGTGTTGTGTTTGTGTGTGTCTGCTGCTGTGTGTGTGTGTGTGTGTGACAGTGTGGGCATATTGAAACAGTAAGTGTATATCATGTGCTTGAATGAATAGTTGTAAATAAAACAAAAAGCGATTACATCCACAAACAAAGCATCAATTACAGCTAAGACATAGGTTGAAAGCCTGAGTGAGTTCACTTAACATAGTATTCATCATCATGTGTCTCAACAGTCCTAAACCTTCTAAGGGTCAGGATGAAATATAATCTGCTGTATTTGAACCAAAAACTGTTTGGAATCTATAATCAAAATAATTATTTTAATATCAGAAACAGCTAACAGTGTAGAGGGAGAATAAACAGGAAACTTGCTAATCATTGCTAATGATTCCTATATGTGTTGACTGAAGCTTTTTGTAAGACAGAAGGATTCAGAGCAAAGTCAGCTTGCATGATCCTTTAGCGCCATCTAGTGATTACTCCACTTAGGCTCATTTTAGGACTCATTTGATCAAATGTCATTTTAGGGATCACCTTCCTATAGGATTTAGTTACTCCATAACTGTCTATACTGTAGAGTGTGAAATTAGGAGTCATTCTTATACATACATAACTTCTAGTCAATGAAACAATAGTGAAATTAATGAAGCCATTGTTTTAGGACACAGTACAGAGAGCCCAAACCATATTTTGTGTTTGTTTGTATTTTCTCTCATGGCTAATTTCTTTCTTTACTATTACTTTATTTCACCAGGATAATCCACTCAGAGCTAGATACATAACATAACATAACATAATAACACAATCAAGTTGGTACAGTCTGCTGTGTCAGTCGTGTCGTGTATTATTTTTGATACAAGGTATATTTTAAGGTAATTTATTCTCATCAATTTGCGATTTGTTCTTCAGTCCAGCATACTCAGTCAGTAAATTCATTATCCCACTGGTTATTACTTGGACTTGCTACTCTCTGCACAGGTGGAGGTTGAGCACTATAACCAGTCATGGAGCTTCCACAAGTACTTAATTAAACTGACGTCTTCTAGTATTTGATGTCTTTAGGCTACATTGTTTCCTCTCTGCTTATTCCATAAAAAGTTCACCAGTGTGATTCAATCTCTTCTTTTATTCCACTAAATCAATCAGGGAATTTGACTGTAAAAAGTTTATAAAGCACCGGCCCTGTGATATATGGTTGGTCCCAGCAGCAGCACCATACGGTGGTTCATTCCAGACCTCTTTCTTCATTGGCTCTGCAAACTATTTTTCAGTTTTTACACATTTATGGACGCCTCTGCAGGAAGGCAAAATGCTCTCAAATAAGATTAATAGAGTCTTTAGAACTGTACAGTGAACCAAAGAAAATAGATATGGATATAAACAATCAGGTGAAAAAATGTTGATTTGTGTGTGCATTTAATTTTTTATTTGACCTTTATTTATCCAGGAAGTCGAGTTGAGATTAAAATCTCTTTTCCGATGGAGGCCTGGCCAAGTGGTGGAAAGCAATTAAGTAGATTTACTCAAATAGTATGAGTACTAGAGTATTTTTATTTTGTGCTCCTTTGTACTTCAATTTCAGTAAATTTCAGGAGAAATTATTTTACTCCACTGCAGTTATTTACTTACAGAAAAACACAAAATATATCAGCATATAAACTGTGTTTTCTTGTATTTGTTGTTATATGTTAACGACCAGCTACATCTACATTAACAATCACATTACTTACACATTAAGGCATCAGTCATATTCATCCAATACTATAATATATGATAATAATATAACATACACTCACTGCTTTATTGAGTACTTTTGCTTTTGATACTTGCTAAATGCAACTTATCTGTGCTTTTATTTGAAATGAAGTATTTTTACGCTGTAATATACTTCAAAGTCCAATTGTTTTCAGTCAAACTATATCCATGCTGAGACATATTAAAGGTTAAACTTGCCAAAAGCATTTCCTGGTATCATCTCCTCAAGCAGATGCCTCTTTTGGAGGGATACAGAACCTGGGATTCTCCATTGTTAAGCCCTAAATGTGCAGACTATTAATTAAACACCACTGGGTGATAGTTTAAGTACAAAATAAAACTTTTACACAAAATCACGAATAAAAGAGCACAAAACCAAATAAGCAAGTGCACATCCAATCTATGCTTTAATTTCTAGTCGTGACGTCCCCTCCCCTCCTCCTTTTACGTGCCACGTCACTGAAGTGCGTCAGTGTAAATTGTAAACACTCCTGCCTCCAGCAGCAGCTTCCTCACTGATAGTCTGTAGACTGAGCTACCGTGATGTGCCAGCGTTTAATGTTTCACCCGCTACAGGTTTCCAGTCGTCGGCGTTATCGCTGTTAAAACCCCCGAGGAGATATCACATGAGGTTATAAAGTCTTTTTTTGGTGGTGGTGGTGGGGGAGAGGTGGGCTTTACAACACCGCATCAAGTTTCTGTCATAAAGTTAATCTTAGTGGTCGAGCTAGTTTCAGCTCGCTAACTCTCAGTCTGCAAAGCAACCATCACCTCCGCTGCTAAATCTTTTTTTTTCTTTTTAAAGCTTTAAAAACAGCTCTGTGCTAAAAAACAAAAAAAAAATGGTGCTTTCGTTGGTGAGCCTTTGTGCCAGGGAGGTGGTGAGTGACCACAGCTCGTCCCCCGGCTGGTTGAGGTGGGTGCCCGGGGAGCTGTACACACCGCTGCTGGAGGCCGCTTTCTCCAGCCGCAGACCGCTGGCTGTGGGCGAGCTGGTGCAGAGGTGGCCTGAACGCACGCTGCGTGTCGGCGGACGCAGGAAACAAGGGCAAACTGCGCCAAATAGACTGTGCATCCAGGCTCTGCTGCTCGCTGTTGTTCGAGGACTGTCCGACCGAAGGTGAGCAGTAGTTTGCGGCTCTGGCTTGTGTTTGGGTTGTGATGTTTTGGGTTGTTTCTGCCTTTTGGAGATTTCACTATATCCTGACCAGTGTTTGGGTTAGTTACTCAAACTGTTTAATGTGTTACTTATTATTCTTTTCAAACATAATTTATGACTTTACTTGGTTTAATTATTGTTTATGTAACTTTTCTGCTTGTACAAAATTGGTCATTCTCTCCAAAATTCAGACTTACTGCGAATAAAATCCAGTTTTGTTTGTTAAAATCAAAGTAATGTGACTATTTCCAGTTGCTGAAATTTACAACAATAAATCCATGGATGTGATTTGATTGTTGGATTTCAGATCAGTAGGATGTGACAACAAAAGTAATGTTGTAACTAATTATATTTTTGGGGGGCAGTAACTGTAATATCATTACTGAAACGTATTAGTACTTTGTTACTCTACTAGTTACTGGGGAAAGTAATATTATTACTAGTGAAGAGTAACTGGCCAACACTGATCCTGACAGTAGTAAATGAGACAGATAATCTGAAAGAAATGTGGCTCTTCCTTTTGTATTTTAATTAACTTCATTTAAATTTTACACAGAAATATTACAAAACATTTAAACTTTAAGGCATCAAGTGTCAAAGTGCATAAGAAAACGTCCATAAAGCGCAGAGGAACTAGTCACTGTCTGTTAACTTGGATCTTGTGTTCCAGTTGAAGCAGTTCAGCGTGGTTAGGTGGACGAACACCAGGGATGCCATACAAGACAGACATGACAGACATGACAGAGCCGAGAAAGCTAGAAATACCGACGCTTGGGTCCCAAAGCAACACCCGGCTGTCTCTCTCTGCTGTGATTGGTTGTTTTCAGTCAGCTGCTGTAGCTTCTTGCAAATGTCATTAGGAGCTTTAGGAGGAACCTGATTCTTTTCACGGATTATCTGCCTCATGTGCTACTGTCAGGATATAGTGAACGTTTTGACAAAAAGTTACCTGCAGCAGCTTTAAGACCCATCCCTCTTTTCCAGGTGTGCCCTGCAAGTACTGGAACTGTGTGGGCTGCAAGGAGATGAAGGAGGGATGGGAGACCCCATGGGAGGCTGGTCTCTGACTGTAGCTCTCTGCACCATGGTTGTTCAGGCCAGAGCCGGAGCACAGAGGGCACAGAGGAGAGAGGGAGAGCGGGAGAGGAAAAGGTTTTCGGCTCTGGAGAGAGAAAGGGATGTGAAAAGAGAGAGGGGGCAGTGGAAGAGGGGCAAGGAACCACATCTGGATGAGGCGGGCACAGACAACAAGGGGCTGGAGAGCGAGAGGGTGGGATCATGTGGGATTGTGGGTGAAGAGGAGCTGGTTAAAGGTGTCAGGAGGAGGATGGAGATAGAGAGGAAGCGAGAGTCTGCAGTGACAGGTTCAGGAGGCAGCAGAAAGGAGGCGGAAGAAAAAGATGCACAGAGTGAAGTGTTGGTGCATGTGAGAGCTGATCTGTTTGTAAATGCTCGCTCTTGGGAGCGCGTTCGCGTGGCTCTGAGCACGTTGGGGCCCCTGAAGCTTCAGTGCAGATACCTGCGCGTGGAAGAGATTTCCGTGTCTAGCATCAGGACCCTGCTAGACCTCCTGCCTCACCAGGGTCTTCAAGGCATTGATGTTCGCTACAGCAGCCTCGGGGTGGCTGGCCTGGGCGAGCTGCTGCCTCTGCTCTCCACCTTCCCTGCATTGAGCTCTCTTCGCCTGCACTACTGTAACTTGGATTTTCGCAGAGACCAAAGTGGCCAAGAAGAGGCCCTGAGGGACTTGTCTCTGGGGCTGGCAAAACTAAAAGAGCTGCGACGCCTCAGCCTGACTGCGCTGCGCCTGCCTGGACAGCTACGTGTGCTGCTTAGGTACGGCCTGATCCCCCGTCACATGAATGCTAACTCTGTACCTTGAGACTGGTAAATAGCACAGTGTCACATTTTTGACCACCTTGGGCTTTAGAAAATTGGAATGATCCTTTGACACCATTTATTGACATTTTATATACAATATTTATTTAGTTTTTTTTTTAACAATTAATCAGTTAATTGAGAAAATAATCAGCAGGTTAATCCATAATGTGAATGATTAGTCGCCCTAATCTCTGAGTACTCAAACTGAACTCAACTTTTAAAAACTGGAGACCTATTACAATCTTCAATTTAACACAAATTTGCCCAAACTGAGAGTCATATTTAGAATAATGAGACAGAACATAAACAACCTCTATAATGAGTATTTTAATAGAATAATAAATAAATGTTCTGTCTTTCCTTTTGTTACAGCTCACTGCCTCAGCCTCTAGAGATACTGGAGCTGCCGTATTTGAGCCTGAGCCCGGCTGACCTCGCCTATCTGTCCTGCAGCCACCATGTTTCCACACTGCAGCAGCTGGAGCTCAGTGAGAACCGCCTGGATGAAATCACCCTGCCCTCCATCCGCCGCCTCCTGTCCCAGGCTTCCAGTAGCCTGCAGCACCTCTCTCTAAGTGGCTGTGGCCTGACCGATGGCCTGCTGGGACTCTTGCTGCCCTCGCTGGGAGCCTGCTTGGCCCTCAAGAGCTTGGCTTTGGCCCTGAACCCTCTCTCCATGGCTGGCCTCATGGACCTGCTGAGGATGGCTGTGAGAATGCCCTCTCTCCGCCACTTACTGTACCCGAACCCCCTGGAGGACTACCAGCCGGGCCTTCCCGACCTGCCCTCCAGTGCTCAGCTCTTAGACTGGCCGCTGGATGAAGTCACAGAAATCAACATGACCAGCAGCCAGCTCAACAGGGTGCTGATTGACAGCGGGCGCTCTGACCTCTTTCTGACATGCGACCTGCTCAATTATGATAAAGATCTGATGGACTAGAGCAGAGGTGAAGGACGCTGGTGCTTTTACACATACCAGACACTCTTATTATGGGGTAGTATCCAACTATCTGCTTTTTATCTTCATTATCATCTGTCTCTTCTGAAGGATGAATTATACCTTTTTGCTTTCTTAAAAAATAACTGGAACAAAGCAGCAAGACACTCAATGCAGACCTCCACCGAGGCACAACAATCTCCTTTTTAGCCAATATGTAAAAAAAAATTGTACAAGGTAAATAACAGGAGTAGTTGCACAAGGATAGCCAGAGTTAAGCAATATGAAGGCAACCGGTTTGTTGTTGTTGGGATCATGAATGTAATCAATGGTTCTGAAGATAACACTTGGCCTGATGGCAGAGCTAGAGATAAGAGACAAATGGACATACGGAGAAGACACTTCTAAGCCATGCTTTAAAAAAACTGGTGCTACACTACTTAATAAGTTCACTTTTGACCGTATAAATTGAATTTTTGCATATAAGTCACTGCTGGTTTTGTACCAAAAGTTTGTTCTTTATAATCAGGTTAACAGGACAGTTGGGATGCAAAGATTAACGTCCCCCTGCTGCCCTCGTGCCTTTACAAATGTCACCAGTACTTTCTTTATGTACGGCACTCATTCAGATAGTGTCTGATCAGCTATTACATGTTCACACTACACGCCAACAACCAAAACTACAAGTTGGACAGTGGTTTCCTTTAATATTTCCTTAAATAGGAAATGAATGTAACTACAAAATATTTCAGTTTATTGTGTTTTTTTTCTGCTTTATTCACTAAGTAATGTACTTTCTCTTTGTGCTGTTCTTATATGCATATTTGTCATACTGTATTTCTTGAATATCTGTTTTAAAATGTTCAGGATGCCTTTTTGTATTCAATCAAATTGTATATCGAGTCAAAAAGTATCACTGTTATCAGGAAATGAGTGTACCAAATCACCTTTATACAACATGAATGCATTTACTTACTGTAAGTCGCAGAATAAATGAGGCATAAGGCAAAGTTTTAAGAGTCTTTTAACTGTCTAAAATGATTAACATATTAACAAACAGGAGTGTAGAGGCATCATCTGTAGTACTCCACGTATGACTGCTGTTGAATGAAGTAGCGACGAGGCGAGGCCTTCACCCAGTCTCCGTCTGAGAAGATGTGAAAGGGGAGGAGAGTGACCCGAGGTAACGGCAAAGAGATGAAACTGGGGAAGTGCACGAGGAAGGGACGGCTTCTCAGGGGAGGCAGAATTAAACCTGTATGAGAGGAATGCATTGGATGTTTGAGAGCGGGAGATGTCCACAGATACAGTTGCACATAATCGTAAGTCTGTGTACAGTGAAATCTTACCTGGTGGCCTGGATGTCCTGGCCATGCTGTACGTCTCTCCTAGTCGAAGGATTGGTTGAGAACTGCTACAAAAATAGATGATTAGGTTAAAAAAAAAATGGAGTAGACTCCGCTTTGTAGAGGAAACTACCATACATGACTTTTAACATACCAGTCATATAGGGGCAAAAGCACTGTGTTTTTGCGACCAGCTGGTGCGACACATTTCTTTCTGTGCTCCTCTTTTTGGATGGAGCAGAAATAGTTCAGCACATCCACCACGCTGAAGGTTAGCGGCTTCCACTTCGCTGTACTCTTGAGATACAGATACCTGCTATGTTCCTGGTGACATGGAAAGAGAGAGAGGGAAAGCAGTTGATCACTTATGGCCAGTCAACAGCACTGTGACGAGCTCTCACGTACTCCTATTTAGAGGAGTTAAGGTCACAGTAAAGGACATCAGGAGCAGGGGAGAGCGGGTTCACAGAACGAGAGCCTCTCAGTTTTCAAACACCTGTTCTGTCCTTTTGTCACACTCAAAAACACTTTAATATATGGTGATAATGAATGTGAAAAATGTTAAATTCTTTTACAGACATGAAACAGGAATTGAAGAGAGATTAAGATTTAAATGAAACACGACACAAACTTTGTATCTGGAGGTCCATAACTCCAGCCAACAATCGGCTCGGTCATGGAGGCTCTTCCACACGTCAGACTGGTCCTGCAGCTCCGTCTGCCAGCTCTCCAGCTCTGGCCACAACCACGGCTCGGCCTCGCTTACACCTAATGCAGTCAGGATGTGCAGCACTGTTGCTCTATTGACAGGAAATTAAATAACCAGGGGAACCTTTCAGAAGTTTTCAACTACAAACTTTCTTTTTGAATTAACCCTGCAAATTAACAATTTTTTGGCCACTTGTTAGCAAACAGTTGCTTATTTGCACATCCAGCAGCTACAGAGCAACATTATCATTCATTTACAGTCCTGTTTCTGTCTGCCTGATGAATCCAAGTCCAGTATTTAATTTGTCCGTCTGCTGGCTGACAAAATCGACACTATGAGAGCAAAACAGTAAAGTTGCGGGCCGGACAGCGAAACAATGAGTGGATTTGCTATAAAGCTCCATAAAGCTGTACACCTTTGTCACATTGTTTTCACATTGTCATTTATAAAGATATCTGTATTAGACACTTTAAATATAAAGGTTACTAATTGTTGCTTTAATTGATGGACTCACCGGAGACCCAGTTTTTTACAAGCCAGAAGAGTGAGAAGCTTTTTCACAAAGTCAGAGCCGGGAGATTTAAGACGCATCAACTGATGCAACATTTCAACAAGCACGGACCGCTCCACAGGCGACTGAAACACACACAGGGAAAACAGTCAGACACAACCTCAAAATCCACTTCTTTAAAATGCACAGTGATAATGTTGAATCCAGCACAGACAGTACCATGGGATATCTCACAAATTTTGACACCAAGTCAGAGAGGCCTTGGTAGAGCTGGTCTGTATTCTCTAAGAGTCCCTGGATGTGCAGCGACTGCAGTGCAGCCAGGATCTTAATCTTAGATGGAGCACTGCAGGTGTTTAGACAGCCCATCAGCTGCAAGGAGAAGTCCTCTGGAGACAAGGTGCTCGGGATACACTGCACACAAACACCCTCATTAAGACCTTAACTTGGACCAGATTTACCATTGTGCATGATATAATTGCCCGGTGAACAGCATAGGCTACCTTTTTATCAGGGAAGAGGTCTTTAAACCAGCCCTGATCCGCAAACTGTTTGAGGAATGTCGGCACCTCAGGGGAGGGTTCCCGCTGTGGGAGTGGTGGCGGGGTCCTTGGACGGCGAGGAGGAGGAGGAGGAGGAATTTTGGGTTTGGGTGGCTCTACTGGAGGCATGATCTCTGGAGGAGGCTACAGGGACAAGCACAGATATACATGTAGATGCACACACACAAATGACAGCTACTGTTTCACGCAGTTATTAGAAGTTATTAGAAGAGAATAAATGCTCTCACCTCTTCTTTCTTCTCCACTATGATGGGTTTCTTGGGTTCGGCGACAGGCAATGGCTTGACTTTTATCAGGGGCCTTGGTTTAGGTGCTGGAGCCTTTTCCTCCTGCAGCCGGAGAAACAGATGAAGAACTTTGCTTCCAGACATGACGACTAAGACAAATAAGAAGGTTTTTCTTATCGTGCTAACAGTTTTACCTCCTTTTTCTCCACGTTCACAGGAATGATTAACTTCGATTCAGGTTTGACTTGCTCTTTTACAGCAGGAGCCACATAACGGTTGATGGCACATGGTTCAGGATCAAATTCAAAATGATCTTTATCCGAGGTCTCATCAAAATCAATCTGAAAGCACAGCATTATCCTATTAATGATGTGAAAGTGAAAATATGCAAAACATTCAAATAAAACAGCTGATTTCTGGCAAATATATTACTGCATCATACTACCTACTTTTAATAAATATTGCGATTTTTAGGCAAAACAGCCGCAGTGTATTATTGAAGGAAAGGTGAGTTGATTATAAAGCTTATTTGACAAAACTTGAAGAAACCTTAATATTGAAGGGCAACCCATATATTATCTTCATGTAGCGATCAAAAGCCTCTTTCTTGGTTTCCTTTGTACTGGGAGGTTTCCCTTTTTTGCATTTTACTGAGCCTTGTAGGAGTGCAGCAAGGTCCATGTTCGAGGCCACTAATCTGTCATGCTCCTGGAACAAGACAGATGGAAAACATATTCAGCACAAATTTTTCAGCGTGTAATTGACACTCAAAAAGCTATCAAGTCACACACACCTTCTGTCTCCACGTGTCTTCAGTGGATAATAAATTGCTGGTGATTGCTGGCAACCCCTCTTTCTCATCTTTGTCGGTGCTTGCATTGCTGTTTGCACCAATGTTGCTCATGGTTTATTAGGTCATTTGTTTGGATTATTTTTAATATGTAATATAAATAAATCTTACGTTTTTTTGCCGCACTCCTTATTCTCGATGATAGGCGAGTCAGGAACGGGTTCGGCACAATAAGTGTAAAGGAGCTGTGAAAATAGGAAGGGATTAAAGAAACATTTTGCTTAAATTTTGTAGCTTTGTTTAAAAATCAAATCATCCCCCACATGTCCATTAACCAGGCTGTAAGCTGACTAGTTACCAGTTGTTGGTAGATGTGTGGAAGGAACTTTGCGCAATCCATCCTGTATAGATCCCCTTTAATGCCAAGAAACAGTTCCCCTCCAAATCCACCATAAACCAGACACTCAGGCACTGCATTCAGCTGTAGCGTCCTGGAGGGGTCACGGATACATAAAGATAAATAACATATATCACTAAGTTACTGCAGTGCAAAAGATCGGCAGCAGGTAAGGCGCTCCAACCCAATGAGATGATTATCTTCATTCCAGATGCACACTGTCCCGTCTAGACTGCTGGAGACAAACACCTCCAGATCAGGACACACACACAACCCTGCGAGAAAACAGAGATAGTCACTCACACACAAATAAACAAATAACACCCTTTACAATTGATTCATTAGCGACACAAAATGTAACTTCTCTACAGTTTTTTTGTGACCTGTGAAGTGGTCTAAATGTCCTTCCACTGGGGAGTAACCGGTCTGGCTCTGGTTGAGAAGGTTAAAGTGCATCAGGTTGAACGTGCCACTGGTGGGATCTTGAAAGGTGAGGGCCAGCTGGCGATCCAGCGCTGCCAGGTAGACTAGTGGTTGGCCACAGTGCAGGCTGAGCATCTTGCTGAGACACTCCTGGACGAAGGGGTTTACTCTCCACACCACCACCGTCATGTCCTCGCCTTGGGGATTGGGGTAAAGCCGTTATGTCAACATTGACAAGCATACAAAGGCAGTTAAGTTGCACTGGGAAATACCTGTGGAGAGGAGGTAGCCGTTCTCGGGGTACACCTGCACTGCGGTGACTCTCTGGCCGTTGTGTGCCGGTGTCCTGTAAAAGACCGTCCCATCATCCATTTTCAGAACGCTCACACAGCCTCCACTGTGGCCGAGAATGGTCAAAAACCTGTTTAAGCAAAGTACAATCCAATTTGCTGAAATAAAGATAATTTCTCCAACCGTATATATTTACTAAATGCAGAAACATTTCTCACTTATTCTTGGCGTCATCAAGCGCTGCCTTGTTCCTGTAACTGCATCCTCTTCTGTCCTGCAAACTCCTCCACTCCTCTAAAGCTCTCTGTGTTTCAGCAACGTAACTGTAAAGCACCAGACAGCAAGCCGGGCCAGGGACAGGCAGATTCTGGACATCATCCTCAGTCACATTGTCCCTGTATCGCCAGGGCCCCTGGCCTCTCTTCTTCCACTCCTGCATCAAAGTGATTGGATTAGTAAGCGTGTTGGCTTGGAGCACCGTACCTTTCTTAGTCAGAGCCAACAGAATCTCTTTATGCAGGCAGTAGTCGGCACACAAAACCCTCTGCTTTGCCTTAAAGGAAGTCAACACTGCTCCTGTTTCTGCAGCCACAAGCACGATGTCACTGTCCCCGCTGACGCAGAGGATTCGTGTAGGGTAAGGTGCACGGAAGGGGGAAACTAGGATTTGTCTCAGTGGGGCTATTTCGTCGCCTTTGAGTTTACAGTGGAGGGTGTACAAGGTTCTGATGGTCCAGAAGTCAACCCCTTGGTGAGAGAAGGAGAAGAAAGTGTCTCCCTTTCTGTTGCCTCCTATGAACAACGGCGGGTCTTCCGGCTCTGTGTGGACGCACTCGATTACACGACCCTTTTCCATGTTCCAGCAACGGATCGTACAATCCGCAGAGGCTGATAACAGCATGCTTAATGCAGGGCAGTAGAACAGTGAGTTCACCACGCCTAGAGGCAAAGAAACAGAACATTTCACGTATAATCATAAAGAGGGAGTTAAATAATGCGCATAGACGTTATGACTTTACCATTATGTCCAACGAAAGTCACACGCAGTTCCCAATCTGGACCCCATACTGTAATGGAGAGCTCTTCCGATGCAATGATCAAACAGTCCAGTTGAGAGCAGTACACCATCGCAGTGATGTCTCTGTAAAACATAACTTGTTAATCTTTATGCAAAAAAAAGAAAACTACACACACACATACATACACACCGTGAGCAGAGATCCCTCTTGTGCTGCAAAACCTTCCCGGCATCGAGATCGACCACCGTGACGACCTGCCTGCACACCGCGAACGCTCTGTGGGGTCTGTCAGATCGCGGCGGGGCTAATGCCATTTGAGTGAACGTGCTCCGCTGCAGCCCCTCCTGTATCCTCACCTTACACCTCATGAGCATCACCGACCACACGCACACGTTGCCCACACCGGCGGTCACCAGCTCTGTGGAGTGTTCTGCAGCCTGACACACGCGTATGTCCAGGGCATCGTGGGCAGCATCCAGGGGGTCCAACTCACTGCTGAGGAGTGTGAAGACAGGCCCCGGGCCCCAACCCACCAGGTGACCCGAGATCTTTGTGACGGTCAGACCCATGAAAGGGAGGTGTGCTGTGGGAGTCTGCTTGTGGCCATCAGCTTTGTAAAGACAAACCGTGTTGTCTGCATGGAGGGTTATGAGTGCTGCAGCAGCTTCAGAGTACATCATGAAACGCACAGGGCTGTCACAGGGCAGATGCTGAAAGCGATGGAGACCGTGAGCGAACACATGCTGTTTGCTCTTGGAGTCTTTCACCTGGAGAGTCGGACACAGAGAAAGCATGTAAGAAACTCTGAAGGTCATCAGACAGTCCCTCCAGAAAAACGCGATTATGCAATCTCATAATTCAACGCATAATCAGGCCAAAGTCCGCATATTTATGGCCGCATTTTTTTCAAATACGCCGCACTTCGCCGCATAAATGCCATTTCCGCGCAATATATGCAGGCTTGCATGATTTCACAATCCACGCATTTTCGTTGCAAAAGAAAAAGTCACACATAACGTTATATCTGAGCCAGAAAGTTGAAAAATGCTGCGTTAATGCACTCAAATCAGCCATTTCCCCTGTTGCCATGGGAACGTTATGAAGTGAGTATTACGCGAGTGGAGCGTCATCGAAAACCTTCCAGTTGTAAAAGTTTATTATATATTATATTCTATATGTGCGTTCAGTAAGAGATTAACAGGAGATGTGTGTTTTGTAAAGCTGCCTCTGTAAAACAGGAAGCACAATTTATTTTTTATATTTATTCTATTCATTTCTGCAGAAGTTGTAGCAGATTTCCTTTTGTAAAGCTGCACAACTTTGTTTGACTCATCGTGTTTTGTAAGTTTGAGTTTTTAATGTGGTTTCTGAAATAAAACAAGGATGAGAACTTAAATATTCCAGCACTTTCTGTGATGTGAAGAGATAAGAATGACTCTTTACCATAAAGGTAGTAGCCTAGTGAGAACAGGGTGTTGGGGGAATCACTTTTTTTTCTCTTTTTCATCAAACCGCAGTTTTCCCGCAATTTTTGCAAGTTCCCTCAATTTCATGGCATAAAATTTCATAAACATCCCGCATATTCAATCGCATTTTTTAACAAAAACGTGCCACACAATGAAGGATTTTTTGCTCGCAACAATCACAAAAAAAACCTTTTTTCGCATTTTTCTGGATGATCAGAAACAGGTTAGCATCATGTGGACTTGTCTACCTCTCCTGTGGCTTTCTTCACGTCCTGCTTGAACAAATCCTGCTTCCTCCCATTTGATGTCCCGCTCTGTTGAGACAGCAGCTTCAGGGGGGGACCGGGGTCGACTACTGTCGCTGTTCTGGTCTCCTCGTCTGGGGACACCATCTCTGTCTACACAGCACTCATCCACGGAGCTTCTGCACTTTCCTTTTTGTGACATTTACCTGTGCACAAAAACACAAACAAACTGGACCGAGCACTTCAAAGTGGATGTTGAACTTTTTAGGTGAAGATGAAATGTTAATTATCTGTTCAGCAACTTTCATTTTCTTATGCAACTTTGTGTTGATCCTGAAATATTATTGGCTTTAAAAATGATCCAAATGTAACAAGCTACAATTACACAAATGATCTCAGTGTCTGTCAAACCATCTACAGTTACTACAGTTTCTTTATTTAGACTTACTGTTTGTTAAATGTTGAATAAAATAATAATACAATTGTCAGATCATTTTAAAGACTTAATAGCTTATGTAATTATTTTATTTAGTATTTGATTTTAGGGACATCTTAAACTGATAGTTTAACTGAAAATAGTTAATGCAGAATAAAATTGTTAAACAATAAAACTGTAGGAAAACATGGGAGCTACTTTTTCTTTGTCTATTCTGTTTTATAATATTTTAATATATGAACTAAAGGCCAACATGTCACTTCAATCCAACAAATAAAGAAAGTTTGGGGAAGACAAATGTTGTGCCATTTGGTCATGGATTCAAGTCACCACAAGACAAACAAACAACAAAACAAAAATAACTTCATCATCCTGGTGTAAACACTAACTTAAGCGTTAAATACTAGTAAAACTTAAAGATTTATAACGTTACGTATCGGCCGAAAAGGTGAGTAAACTAAGTCAAAATGTGTGTCTACCTTCCACCAACTTGTAGTTATGTAGCCCGGGTGCAGCAGTGTGCCTCACACATATACACTGTTGAGTTTAATTAGTTTAAAAACAATAAACAGAGTTAGCATTAGTGAGCTAAAAGTTTGCTCTCTCGGGTCCCAGCTCGGTCTTCGTTGCTAGGCTGCGGGTTGCTGGGATACGGCCATGGCTGCAGGTCGCACAACTTGAGTGGTTCCTGACAAAATGTTTGTTCTCCTCTTTTATACGTGAAATAAACCACTGAGGACACTGAGGTTGTCTCCTCGGTGTTTCTTCTGGGAATCTGGGATGTTTTAGAGCCTGAAGGACTTAGAGGTTGATATTTTTTATGCTCAGTATATTTAATTTTTTTGTACTTTTAGGCGAATAAATAAATAAAGGATTCACTATTTCACCAGCAGGGTTGTATTCTTTCATGTCAATTAGCTGATTAATTATTTTTGTCTTTTTATAATGAAATAAAATGTTATTTTATTATTAATTATCCTAAAATCCTATTAGGTTATCTGCATTTAAGCTGAAAACAGGTTATTTTTTTCTTAGCTCATTAAAAACCTTTATGACATTTTGGAGAGACAGAACAGACACTTTCATGTTGGAAAATAAAATATAGAAACTTAATGTTGTCAACTGTTAACTGAATAAAATCCTGGTTAAACAAACTACTTAAACTGGAGTTGGGGCACGTTAAGAACTTACACAAAAACATTAAACATTAAATAACACACCTACAGATATACTCAGTTTATTGTATAAAAATTAAACTTGTTAATACGGTACAAATATTTCACATTAATCAAACAGTACAAATATTTACATCAACAAGCATTTACATTATTTGTTTCTTATAATGTATTTATATTAAATAAGTTGTGGCCCCTATAAAGGATCTTTGGTATTTAGCCACATTGTTCTCATAGCTAATGTTAATATTAGATTTTCTAGGCGTGTTTCATGGATTTAAGAAGAAAACACACATCAAATTAAAACAGGACATATACTGTAAAGTGACTGTGACAAAATCAGATTTATAAATTGATCTTTATGCTTTCCGGAGTTTAAAAATCTTTGATGCAGTGTTTCAGAAGGCTTCAGTCATCATACTCTCCAACTTCTCCTCCTCTGCAGTAATGGGCGCAGTAAGGTTTCTCGTGAAATACTGCATTTCTATTGTTCCTGACTCGTGTGCCAGTGCTATTCCTGAATATGTGTTTTGTTGTCCTGAGTCTCCAAACACAGCCATGGCAGTCACCCTGAGAAGAGAGCAGAAAATGTGAACCACATATCAATACAAAAAAAATCTCCTTAGAAAAAAAAAACAATCATCCCTCATGTCTGAGTCTACCTGTCAGAAATAATCCTTTCAGTGACCACAGGCTCTGTATCATTTTTCAGCAGGTCCCATATGTGGAGGTTAGAGGCTGCATCGAGAACACAGAAGACTGCTGGTCTGGTCTGGGCCCAGTGCAGTGAGACCACTGGTTCACCAGCTGTACCATTCCTCCACTCTGCCACAGGCTGCTCATGGCTGACTGCGTGCAGCCTGATGCTGCCGTCTCCACAACCCACCTGGAGTAAGGGGAAAAGGTGAGAAAGGATTTTATATATTATATTTTATATATCATGTTATTTTTATGTATGTGATTTATTTATTCATACAGGTAAAAGTTAAAGGAACAGTGCATATTAATAGACATTTCTGTATAGACTATTGTGGCTCAGTTTATTCGGGCTCAGTTTCAACTGTAGTCCCTGGGTAGGTGTAATGACAGCTACAAAAGACACAAAAAAGAAGAACAAGGGCAGGAGTTTGGTAACACACTTGACTAAGCCATGATTTTAAATTGATTTAAAATGAACTATATAAGTTGCAGTCTCTGATAGGTGTTGGCATATTGTTGTGAGCAGCTCTCACTGAAAAAGTCCTCCTCATAGGTATTATACAATTGTATCTTCCCACAGACCTTGTATGTCTATCATCAGTTGTTTACTGCTTTATAAAAGCACTAAAGGGGGAAGGAGCCAAGCCATGCCCAATCTTACAGACAAGTCAAGTGTCTGTTAATTTGATAAGACTGTCCCAGCTCAGTAAATTAGGCTGTAACAATGGTGTTCAGTTTCCTGTCCCGTGCCTTAAGAGCCTGGTGCCCAACTAGTCCTTTCTGTCCTGCACTTTGAGCTAACCAATGCAGGTTTATTGTTTTTTCCATTTGCTGTAACAGTAATAAAGTTAACTCAAACTCACAAATCACAATCTCTGGAATGGACCATAATCAAATCACCCCGAAAAAATGAGGTTTCCTTGCTTTTGTGCACAGCATTAAATCCTCGTAGGCCGTTGTTACTTCTCTACTTTAACATTTCTATGGAGGCAACAAAATATAATTTTCTAATTAAGGGGAAACAAACAAAACAGTGAAAGTCCTTTTAATGTCAAAAAACTGCACTCTCACCAAGAACAAGTGTTGCATGAAGGGAGAAAAGTGGATTGAGCTGACGTCAACAGGTCGGACTCCAGCCTCCTGAAACCTGTAAAACTTCGGTGGAGCCTTCAAACCGTGACTCGTTCCATGATTCACCAGACCCTAGACAGAAATTATATTAATACACTGTCACAAAATGACACATAACTGCTGCAATTATGTCGGAAATCATTTCTGAATATCTTCAGGTGGTAAATTTGAAAGGACATCACACTGTGGCAGATAAGATCAAGCTCACCATATTGGTGCCGACAAAGAAGTGATTGGAGTCTGTTGGAAGGAACTTTAAATGAAGTGTCTGTAACGGCCCTGTTTTCGCTGCATCTCGCGGTGACACCCTGAGAGCCGGACGGGCCGAGAGAGGGAGACAAATGTCAAACCAGAGGTGAAAGGTCACAACATACCCAGCCAAAAACAAACTGGGCAACCGGTGGAACGCGACACTGCATCACATTCACACCACACATGTATGACCACGGATATGTTTCCATCAAACGTTGAGGTGACACAAACAACAGCCCGCAGAACATAACAAACAAGATCGTATGACCACGCCAGAGCAGCTGTGTTCCACTGGGTAAAGACATTGTGGGGTATTTTGAGCCCAGTGGCTGGCAGTGACGGATGATCATCACAAGCTATTTATCAATCTCACCTCTCAGCAGTGAGGAGGGAGGAGCTGTGAAGTAACTTCACTTTGCTGCCAGGCCTGAGCCCTGCAAGAGAGGACGAGAGATAGAGGCTGAAGCTGGTACCCCACGTGTGAGAAAGCTGAGTATGTTCGTGGAAAAAAGAGGGAGAGTGCCAAAACGTGACTGCCGTACCTAGATCTGTTGGAGAACCTGCCTCGTTGGCTTTGGGGAGTTCCACTACCACCTAAAGGACACACAGAGGAAATCATCAAGTCCATCACAGCATAACTTTGATGTTTGTGTACAGCAGACGTTTTAAAAGTCGACAGACAATATTGATATTGCAACATGAAAATGCTGAAAGTTTTGCAACTACAGTTCCCATAATTGTGGAGCATATAAACAGGAAGCATAATGTTGCTGTGGGCTACAACTTCTGCCCCGTTTTCTTTAAAGCTTCTCTCTGTTTACATTTGGTAAATTAGCACGATTAAAAGTATGCCGAATTAGTTCTTAGCATTTTCTCTTGGCAATGTATCCATGGATGTACAGACAATTATCAATGGGTGTCTTCTTTACTGAAGACAACATAAAAATGTGGTAATTCTCAGGCAAGATCTGGAGTTACAAGGACACATCTTTTTTTCTTTAAAAGCCGGTTTATGGTTACTTTTTTGGATTTATTTTTTTATATAAGAGAGATAAGATATCCTTGGGAAATGTAGGTCATGTTGAATTGTCTATCGTGTGCTTAGATTTGATTGAGTTACGACTGAGGAAGAAAATTCCGATCAACTATGAGTTGTGTGTTACAGTCACTGCTGCTGCAAATACTGACCCTGTTGATGAGTGGACTAAATCACCTCGGCCAAACTAAAATAACTTGTTTCCAGAATACCGGCATACACCGTCCACTTTCACCACACGCAATATCTTCAATTCCCCTTCAACTCTCCGTACACCTTACAGTTTGAAAGCCTCTGTTGTCAAGAAAAGATATGTACTATATATATATATATATAAATAAACAAATGTACTACTTTGTTGCCCAACCTACCCAGAAATTTAAAACCCCGGTTTCGTCCAGAGAAGCCAGCTGGAATGACAATCCTGATGACTCTGGATTATGAAAAAGAATTACAATTAAATATAAAAAACCAACTGTGAATCGCAAAAGTATACGGCACATTTATAAAATGATACACGCGATCCTCATCAATGGGTTAACTATTCTTACACCATTCCATACCTTCCTCAGATGCCAAAAGGGGGACCTCTGGCCTCAGCCCCCCTGCTACAGTGGAGGGGACAACTTCTACAGACGTCACAGATGAGAAATGGCCAGAGCCGGCCATCACTGCATCTGAGTTGACAAAAGAGAGGACATCAGCACACACTCACTCAACGCTACTGCTACGTATAAAAACAGCCTCTGAACTTTAAGCGTGAGAAACAGAAGAGGCCATATGGATTCACCATATACTGTAAATATAGTTTTTAAGAATAATAAGAATAAGAATAAAGTTTCTAGCCTGCCAATGTTTTTGTATGCTGTCTGGAAACTGTCCCTAGTGCTACTGTTCCAGACGTCTGACCTTCAATCTTAAATAAATTATTCTTTCGTAAAAAAAAAGAAGCCATTTTTCAATTCACTGATCATCTATCCTTCCATCCATTTTTTGCTACATATCCAGTCCAGGTCATGTTTAATGATTAAGTAAGAAAGAGTAAGAAAGTACTGACAAAAATGTGACATAAATATCATCATCCCTAACGGCTTTCATTGATATTTTTCATACTTTGGTGGGTATGACTGGGTATGAAAATTGCATTCTGTGTGGTATTAAAAATGGTTGGTCAACCCTGCAGAAATCAGCACCTTCTTTATGCAATGACACAATTTGAAGAAGAAGAAAGTAGAGGGAAAAGGCACAGAAAATGTCAAATAAAAACACAAGAAGATTATTAATACTGAGCGAGTGGAATTGTTACATCTTTGGCTTCAAACTCCTTAACATGAATAGGAATTCATGTGTGGTATCCTCTCAACCAGCCATGGCTGTTTTCACACATACTGAAAACAAATTGAATTCAACTATCGTCTGTAACATACCAGTGGAGAAGCTGGGCTGTCGGAAAGTCCACTCATCCTCCCCTATCTTCAAGCTGTAATGGTTACTAGCGTGTTCCCTCAGGTCCCACAGCACCACAGAGCCGACTGATGTGCCTGCAAACACCAATATGGCCTTTCCAGGGCTGAAGCAACAGCACTGCACCTGCGACAGCGAGGATTAAAAGGGGGTTGTCAGTGTTTTGTGTAGACGTTTTATGCATGTCAGAGGTGAGGTGACTTTTGTTCCACTGCAAGTCATTGGCAGGTTTGATATCAGGTGAGAAAAATGGTTTCGGTGCATTTTAAGACAGGCCTTTTTGGGTAATTATTATAATGAAATATGGATAATTACACAGCAATTTTGATTGGAGTTGTCATTTTCAAAGGACAAGCAGAGCGAATAGGTCTGCTGACTGATGTTTAGTGTGTTAATATTGTTAATTCTCCTCTGGTAAAACTACAAATTACTTGAGACAGTCTCGTATGTCAACAAAATGTAGATCTCTGGTCAGTTTTCTGGTAATGAGCAAATAAATACTTGCTGACTCGTGTCACTAAAATTTTTTACTTTTTTTATTTATTTATCACAGCTACCTTTGCTATAACTGAAAAAGGAACTTTAAAATGTCACCTCGGATTCGTAGACAAGGACTTTTTGAGGTCTGGACGGCTCCCAGATGTTCCAGATGCAGATGATCGTGCAGCTGTCAAGACGAACAGGACTGGGCTCGGTTGTAGGGCTGTGGACTGACATCATGGTCTGCCTCTGGACCTGAGAGAAGTGCAAGAGGCTGACGCTGCGACCTGCAAATAAACAAAAATGGTGAAATCCAGTAGTGTAATCACATGCACGTGCTGTTTTATATATTCTGAATAATTACTTTGGTCTACAAGGTACAAATAACAATTGATAAAAGACTATGAACCATAAAGGAAAGGCAACTTGGTGTTGAGTTGTAAACTTCCATCGCTGAAAGATAGAGTGTCCGTTTGAGATCTCAGCTTTCTCAGGGATTTTCTCTCAGCTTGATCCTCTTCCAACAGGACAACCATGACCTTGATTCAGTCACAAAAGACCACAGGAGTTAGTTTCAGTCACAGAAACTTTCATGTAGGAAGTCAAGAGCTGTTCCATTTTTAAAACTGTGAATGAGTGAAAAGATAACCTGTGAGGCCGAGTGCAGAAATGCCGTCAGGCGCTGCGAATCAAAGTTGATTTCACTTGTGGTTTTGTCTCGTGCTTCCTGGGAGAGGTTCGGATCTATCAAAACAAAAACACTGTTTTTGAACTATACATAAAAAAGTTCATCTGAGAATAATCTTAGCTTTTCCTTACCACCACAGGCTCCATTGTGCTCTGGAGGATGCTGTGTCCACTTCTCAAACACCTCTATCTCCTCTGTCTGGATGTCTCGGTCTGCATTATCCTCATTACACTGAACGTAAGCCTGAAAATGACGAAATGTTCCCGTTACTCAGAATTGAACAACAGCTACTTTTTACAGAAAGACATTGCATATTTTCCCTTTCTCTTTTATAATTTGGTTACAGGCAGCTGTGCAAAGTAAAAGAGACGACAGAAACAGAGACTGACCTGCTTAGTGTTTGCAGTTCCAAAGGTTCTGATGTACATGTCATATTCATTCACAGGTGGCAGATCCAAAAGGGAGAATGTCATTGAGAAATCCAGATCAATCAAGCGAAGGAGCTCCGTACTGCGTTTCCTGTGGTCAGAACAAAATACACATTGATGGAACGATCCAACAACCACAAGTATCCAATCATATTACAACCATCCATTGTTGTATTTTTTCGCCAGTTAACTTACTTCTGTTTTGTGGCAACTTTCTTGCTGACTTCACGCTGCTTTGCGGCCACAAAGTCGATAAACTTCCCACGCTGGGATGCTCTACTCTGGTTCCTTTCAGATCCTGTTAACAGAGCAGCAAAGATGCATTATATTCCAGCATTATAAAGACATGAAGAATATAATTTTAATAATAAAAAATAATAATACAGTAAGAAAAGAACTATACCTCTGGACCACTTAGGCTCATCTTCCTCCTCTCTGTTCGTTAATTCTCTGGACTGAGCTGTTCCCACTCGCTCGTTCTCTTCATCCATGGCTCTCTGAATTGCTTCAATTTCCTTTCTCTTTTGTGCTGTAAGTTCCTCCCTTTTCTCGCCCACCTCTGGACGCTGTGGCTCCTTCTCATCCTCACCTTCATTTGAGCTCTCATCCATCTCCTCAAAATCCTCCTCATAATCCTTTGAGCAGATCAATTCCATCACTTATTGCATATTAATGCAAAATACAAAAACAGCCAAGATGCTACGAGCACAAACTTTATATCTTATAAGAATGAAAATTAGGGATGCACTGATACAAATATCAGTTTCAATACTGAGCTCATATGCTTGTACTTATCCTTAATAATAAAACTGCTC